CTCCACATTAATGCCGATTTAGGAAGAGAGAGTCGAGGACTCATTGGGTGGCGATGCCATGGTGTTTCGTGTTTTGCCAACCGTAAGGTCGAAGCGCACACACACCGTCCTCTTCGAGGAAAGAATTCGATTGACGTTTTGTGGTAACGTCAGTCTGGTGGAGGAGGGTGTAACGGGGTTACACGTCGACTGGTAGTCGACGATAGGTGTGGTGCACACAAGGGATGGGATCCCCATTAAAGTGATATGAGAACACAGTATCTATCGTTGAAGACTGATGTCTGTCAACCATTGATTACGAGATCTTTTGAGATGTTTATTTAGGACATTAGCGAGTAGGTTAATTACGTTGTTCTAAGGTGTTCTTTTAGGTTAAAAGAAGAAATAAAATTCAGTTCCCATTTTGATCCGATAGACACGTGCCTCTTTGAGGCATCTCGTGATCATTGAGGAGATAGCAACGCCTTGCTAAGGCAGCTACTCCTTGTGCACTCTGTGCGTCGATTCTCTGAATCGTTGGGTCCCCCTGGAACAGGGACCGTAAGCTCTCTGAGTTCGTTGACTCTTTGAGTCGAGTTCTTTGAACCAAACCTTAGCTATCTGAGCTGTTGACTCTTTGAGTCGGGTTCAATGAACCACAACTTGCTCGTTGAGCGTTTAAGTCTACCTCTGGCTTAAGGAGATGTGTAGCTCCGCTACAGGGAAGCAGCAAGCGTATTAACGAGAACCCTTACTACTAAACCTCTTGAGCTGGAGGCCCTGCTGCTGTTCTGCCGGGATCCCGATAATGGTTGTCGACAGGTCTTTTCATCCTATTTTGTGACAATGGATCACGTGGCAACCTAGGCCTTGGCGGCTGCGGGTCCATTTTCGCACGTGTCTGCTTAAGCAACCTCCAAGCGACTGTTAAGTGATTCGCAAGCACGGCGCTTGGCAACAGTAGGGACAACTTACAATGTCGCTGAGTAGCGTGGGTTCATCTACGGCGCGCGGCACGCACGCAACATGGGCTTGTCCCCGCTGCACGATGTCGAAGATAGCCAATTGATTAACAATCAACTACGACGTCGTCGGCCGCCGAGATCGTCCACCCTACCGCCGCTATACCGGCAAGCGCAAGCAATGGCAGACAAGGTGGGGTTGCCAGCTGGGCACAACACTGCCGAGACCGCAACAAGATGGCAGATGCTGCAATGGATAGCAGATACTTTCACAGCAGTGCAAAGGTTTATCCAGAAGACCGATCACGCAATTGATTGAGCCCCATATACAGAACGACATCTCACATTGGCTGGACAACGTGTCCGCTCAGGTACACGAGTTTGCGCGCCTAACGACATTTGGCTGGGAACACGCTCAATCCACGCTATCCCTTATACTTGTGCTGAGCAAACCTTGTACAGCAGCACAACTCGAGCGCGGACATTGTAGGTCGTCAGCGGGCCTCAATATACCTACCTCACTTACAAAACAATAAAAGATATAGTTATAGCTACTGCTGCTACACAGTCGGCAACACGTCATGGCTTCGGGTACCAATTGGGCATTTATGGATACTTTGCGGCCTCCTGTCTACGTGTGTTTGCGTCGGAAGAGTGACGACTGCGATGCAGGTGGGGAACGCATGAAACTGGATGGACAGTACGTTGATCGGTTCCCTACTAATGCTGCAGTGGTGTGAATGGTGGGTGGGGCCTCATGCTTTTTTCGTGTGCATTGTATAGTGTGGAGAAGGACGCGTGGAGCCACGTGCCGTGGTCCGACTCGTTTGTGGACATTGAAGGGCACGAGCGCAAACCCGTCGAGCACCCGCGCACGCGGTTCAAAATGATGCACGACGACAATACGCTGTACGTTGCAGCAGAGCTCATGGAGCCAAAGGTGTGGGGAACTCTCACCGAGCAGAACAGCACGTTGTACCACGAGAACGACTTTGAAGTGTTCCTCAATCCTGACGGCAGTCGACAGCACTACTAGTACGTGGTGCACCAGACTTTGGACGTGATGGGTGTTGTCGTTTGTTGGCTTATGGTGAGTGGAGACGTTGCGTTGTGTCTTGTTCGCTCTCGTTACACGTTGGTTCATGCAGCGAAGTGGAAGTAAACTGCTTGAACACCACTTGGGAACTGTTGCTCCATCGACCGTACAAAGACGGCCATAGCATCGAGAATCCGTTCAACTTGACGTCTCTGGACTCGGCTGTAGCTGTTGACGGCGTGGCCAACTCGCCCGGGACGACGTGCGTGCGCTGGTGCGTCGAAATGAGTTGGTCGCTGGTAGAACTCGAGCAGTTTGACAAGCTGCGCTTTCGTGGTGGAGGTGTGCCCAAAGCATTATCCACTGCAGCAGTCAGCGAGCCATTGTCGGCTCCAGCCACGAGTTCGACAGTCACTGGAAACGTGTGGCGTGTCAATTTCTCACGCGTCCAGTACGAGCTCGAGACGGCTGTCGATCCCGATACACAGCAAGTGCAGTATCGAAAAGTACAAGGCAAATCCGAGGATAACATTGTGTGGGCACCTTCAGGAGTGATCGATATCCATCGTCCAGAAAGGTGGGGTTACGTGCTTTTCAGCAGTACAGATGACCTGACTTGTGGAGAACTGGAACTCGCAAGTGCCATGACAACGTATTTGGAGGAACAGATCGCCATGGAACGCGTTCTCGATGCCATTTACTATCAGCAACGAGCATTTCACGCCACACACAACGGCTTCGCTGCGACAATGGAGATGCTGTACAGCGAGCCAACGCACCATACGGCACTCGATTCGTCAGCGTTGCCAGATGACCAAACCCCGAAAAAGTGGACGGACGCGTTCCCATTGCACGATCTCTTGCGTCACTATCGACTCGACACACCAGTGCTCTCGTGCGATGGCGATCTCGACACAAGCGGTGAATGTCCTGCAGCACGGAATGAGTCGGACGATATCGTCACTGCACACGCAGATTGCTCCACGGTCTCGAAATGTCTGGAGGATGCGACTCCTTCAACACAACGTTCTCACTTGCAGAAGACGCAGACTTCTAGTGTGCGTGGCCTCGTCTCCCAGTACACGGCGACAGTGCGCAGCTCGACTCAAGAATGGCGCATGACCCATACTGGAAAGCTCTGGAAGTCGGCGCAATGCAATGGCCTGTAGTACGTTTCGGGTTTGGTTTGCGCTGGAGGATCGAGAGCCTTTTGGATACGTTGGACGTCCGTGCTGACGCGGTATCACTGCTACGTCATGCGATCTGGATCACTCCTGTTGTATCGATTGCTTACTCAATGGAGTCGTTGTCAAATGGTATGTGTATGTGTGTGTGTGACTCGTTACCCATCTTTGCATACCCCCACACGATTGATGGCAAAGCAGCAAGTGGATCGAACGCTGCGAAGATGATACAACAAAGTGTGGCGTGTAAACAACTCGAACAACCTCAGGTTCTGCACTTGAAGCCATTCCTTTTAGCATCATGGTAACAAATGTGGGCAGAACTTCAACGACAGATGCCAGGTCCAGCATTGACAAAGTAGGAGGGAGTCAAATGGTCGTCTGACGTAAGCTGACCTGACTGTAAGCAGTGTCACTCCAACACAGCTGGTAAATTTGGTCTCACCTGTGTACGTAGCTATCAGATTGTGCGGTAAAGTGGCACTGAGAAGATGCAGCTTGCGGTCTCCACGCTCGTGGCGTATACGATCAACCAGGTAAGCAATGAGTGCCAGACCAGCCTGGAGATAGTTTTGGGGCCTACGACTTTGTGTCCATGCCGAAAGCAAGTGATCGTCGAGGGTGTGGGCGAATCGAGACATCATTGACGTAGAAGCAGGGACGGAAAAGAGTATGCAGCCCATGCCGCGCATCGCGAAGGTGTCGGCCGTAGCAGATATCTGTCTGCTTGCCGTACTGCTTGCCGTGTAAAAGAGGTAAAAGGACGGGTGTATCGGTAACATCATCACGCATCTCGCCAGTCTTGCCCACGAAGGACAACCGAGTCCAAAGGCATTGTGCTCATTGCATCAAAAGTCCAATTGTAGCCGTCGCACGTGAGAGCTGCACACTATCGGAATCGAGGCAGGTGTTCTCTCCTTGCGGTGAACGCAGCACGCCATCGAAAACAAGTGTAACACGACCATTATATGTGGTCGAAGGTAGTCGCTGGTGACTCGATTGGCCTAACTCCTTGTCAAGAACAAAATGCTGACGACGCTGTGGCAGTCACTTGTTTTGCATGACTTCGTGTCTTTTTGCACCTGATCGTCGCATCGCATGGACACTTCGGCATCCGACTTGGAAGTGCGGCACTCCGAACATGCGTAAACGACGCTAATCATTTGCGTCGGCACGCGTCGGCGCTCACCATTTGTTCATGTACTCAGATCGTGTACTTACTTCCCTCAGCTCGAGAGAGCGTTGTACAGCGCTCTCTCGAAAAAGGACGAAAAGAGCTGAGCGACTGCGTATCTGGAAATGCCATTTGGCGGTGCAAAGACAGCTGAAAGGAGTGTGAAGAAGTTGATGTGGTATCGAATAACCCATCGACGGATCGAAGGGGCACAACAAGTGGCTCAACCACATGACCAAAGGACGAGAAAAGCTGCACCGATCCACAAGCGAAGTGGGCACGAAACATGTGGTCATGCAGAGGGCCAACTGGACCGACGAAGTCTGACGGTACATACCATCGAGAATCGAATGCAGTCACTGCGACGGACACACACTGCACGACAATGGCACACGGACGACACTCTTTTCGCACCAGAGCTCCGGACGATGCAGCAACAGCACTGCCGATCGTTCTTGCAACTTCATCAACGGTCCTTTCGAACGGAGCGACGCCCAACATCTTTTCATTCAAACTCACACGCTACAGCACAGACGCATCGATTGTTTCCCAGACTTGCGCTCTTTCGCTCTAACGCAGTGCGTTCCACCGCACTTGAAACGTCCATGCGCATCGAGATGGATACTATACGGCTCCTCTCTGATCGCGTTCTCGTGACGGCTGCATCAATGGTCCCGTGCAAAGTCCACTTGCGGCGCGTTCACAACGCCTGCCAGCAACGAAACGACTTGTCCGCCGTGCGTGACATATATCGTGTCGGACGCGTGTCCGTGTTGACTGACAAGAGGTGCGTGGCTGTAGGTCCCCGAGTAGCACGACCCGTCACTGTAATACGGTGGCGGTGACGACGCAGACAGTGACGACTCGCACGTCGGCGTTGGAGACGATGCGTCCGCAAAGTCCGTAGCTACCGACACCCGACGTGCCGCCGACATGCGACTCCAGAACTCGAGACGCTGGCGCTGCGCTGTCAAGTACTTCAGGTCCTGATCAAGTGGGCAAAGCAGCAAAGCAAGAGACAAACAACGACCATTCGAGTGTCAACATGGGACGTCGAGAGAGATGAACAGTAGCGAAGAAAAGCGATGGACTTTACCTGCACGGACATGCCACTGCGGATGTCACACGCGTTGATGCTGGCGCTGTGTCGGGTGGGCAAAGACACGACGACGTGGCACACTCGCCTGGAGGAGACCATACTGTATGCGATGGATGTCGTGGGAACGTCGACTGGGGCTGCTCGACGACGACTGCGGGTGCGTCTTGATCTGCAACGGGTAAATCGGTAATGCGCCTTCTCAAGCTCACGCGCAATAGCTGTTGACGGAGGTTTGCCAGTCCCACTTGAGCAAGAGAAGAAAGATCGGCGGCCACACGGCCATGTCGACGATGAACGGCGATAGTGAGACCAAGTCGAAGCAAAGGCTCCTCATCGCGATCTCGTCCATCGCGCCACTTCAAGCACGTTTCTGCTACTCGCGACGATTTTCTGATGCCATCACGTTCGTCGCGACGACTTCAATGCATCGGTCAATCTCGGTCCACAGGTCGGACGCCGTCAGTCGTGACCTGGAAGGCGCAGGTACCTGCTGCTAAGTGCGGCGAGAAAACCACCTCGAGCTCTCGGTCCGTCGAGTCCGTGTTCCTCGTAATCATCAGCCTGCACGCAATGAATGGCCACTGCATGAGTCACAAAACGACACCCTCCGTCAAGCAACGAGAAATCAGCGCGTACCGCTGGTTGATGCAGTGCGACCACGAGAGCCCCAGCGCTGGACGCAGACCGTTGCCACGCGGCGTCGACCGAGCAGCGTCAAAGTCGCCCGTCACTTGGTTGGTCAGCACGAACACGACGCCGTACTGGTCGCTGAGAATGCGCATGCAGTTGGCCAAGTGGAACATCGTCTGGGCGCGCTCGGCGGCGTCCTGCCACACGCGACAACAACAAGTTAACTGCGGGATACCGTACCCACAAGTACAACCTGCAAACAGGTTCAGACAAACAGGTACAAGTACAAGTACAGGTACAAGTACAAGTACGAGTACAAGTGCAAGTACAAGTACAAGTACAGGTACAAGTACAGGTACAAGTACAGGTACAAGTACAGGTACAAGTACAAGTGCAAGTACAAGTACAAGTACAAGTACAAGTACAAGTACAGGTACAAAGACAAACAGCTGATCCCTTGCGGGCCGAGGAGACAATAGGCGCGACGACCGCAACGTGGGACGCGACAGACACCCCACACCCCCACACATGTAGCCATGAGGTGCATGTACCTTGACAGACGACGTGGACTCGAGACGAAAGACGGCCGCGACCGAGTCGAGCACAACGAGTTTGGTGTTTTGTTCCGCGAGCAGCGCGGGCAGTCTCGTCTGCTGTGGCGCGTTCGGCGTCAGGTGTCGCGTTGTCGCCGCATGGAGTCAGACGAACAGATCAGAGCACCACATGATTACGCAGCGAGTCAGTGCCGATACACGTCATCATTCCGCCATTGTCCAGTCGTTCGATGGTTCTGTTTTTTCGTGTGTAGGTGTAGGTGTATGTATACATGTACAGTGACGACAGACAGGCAGACACACAGACAGACAGACAGACAGACAGACAGACAGACAGACAGACAGACCGACAGACGGATGAACTGACCACTAGACGCAAGAGGTCGTCCACCGCGTGAAGTTGCTCGACGAAAATGCCGTCCAGGAAGTCGCTGGCCGTGGCCGCTGGCGCTACTTCACCGCGTTTCCGTTTCCCGCCGACCGCCAGTCCAGTCGTGTGGTCGTAGCGTCGTGCATAGACGTGCGCGAGCGCGTGCAGTCGCTTGATCGACAGCGCGCCTTCGGTGCCAATGTAACACGCAGTGCCCTGCAGCCCCCCGAGCGCGCGCGGCAGACAGCACTGAAGTAACAACTGGAGACACAGTTGCGTCTTGCCCGCCGCCGCGGCGCCGCAGAGTTCCGTCAGCAGACCGGAGCGGAAGCCGCCGTCGAGCAGCGCGTCGATGGCGTCGCAGCCCGAGGACAGCACAGCGGCCGTCGCGGCGCGCGTCGCCCACAGCGTCAGCGCCGTCGGGGCAGGAGCGGCCATGGCAAGGGTAGTGACCGGTCACTGAAGCGAATTGAGTCGATGACGCTGCTGCGGCCATGGCGAGGGTAGTGACCGGTCACTGAAGCGAAGCGAGTCGATGACGCCGCTGCGGCCATGGCGAGGGTAGTGACCGGTCACTGAAGCGAAGCGAGTCGATGACGCCGCTGCGGCCATGGCGAGGGTAGTGACCGGTCACTGAAGCGAAGTGAGTCGATGACGCTGCTGCGGCCATGGCGAGGGTGTGACCGGTCACCGAAGCGAAGTGAGTCGGTGACGCTGCTGCGGCGATGGCGAGGGTAGTGACTGGTCACTAAGCGAAGTGAGTCGGTGACGCTGCTGCGGCCATGGCGAGGGTAGTGACCGGTCACTGAAGCGAAGTGAGTCGGTGACGCTGCTGCGGCGATGGCGAGGGTAGTGACTGGTCACTGAAGCGAAGTGAGTCGGTGACTCTGCTGCACGGGTTTTTCATGTGTTTTGCGAAACGCGGTATTTGATTTGACAGGAGATGGAAAGAACCGGGCAGAGCACGAACGAACGGGTGGCTGGTGGGCACAGCACCGTCCGTTTGTATGCTCATCTGTTTGTATGTTCATTTGTAGGTCCGCTTGTGTGGCTGTCAGAATGTTTGGCTGTGCACAGGCGTTCATTCATTCAGCGGACATCTGACGCGTAGGCGCAGCAGACAGACAGACCCACGCAGACAGACGGACAGGAAACGCGAGTCGTGTCGTGTCGTGTCGATGCTTTTGTTTGGGTGCAGTGTGTACTTGTAGGAAGGAGCTGATGTCTATCCTGAGGGACTGATCACAGATGATGGACAGCATTGAAGTCCAGTCTACTGGCCTGATCCTTCTCGCACTTGTTGTCGTAGTGTGTGTGTGCGTGTGTGTGCGACTGCCGCACTGTAGGCGCAGCCGCATGTCACGTTTTGTTGCCGTCGCTCTTGCAGCCAAATCTGCCACAGTTGTTGTGTCTCTTCCTCCATGGCCAACCATACTGCTATTGGCTGCATAGAAGAAGCGGTTGTTCATGATAGGAACCCTTCGCGACCTACCGCCGTGTTGCAAGGAGCCAATTACAACCCACACGCCACTTGCGTGCTTCGTCGGTATCGTCGCCCATGTACATGATATGTCGACCGGCGATGCAGGTAAGCTGACTTGCATTGTACGTTAGCTGACAGGTATTGTACGTTAACTTTCATGTAAGACCACCTCGCGAAGAGAACTGTCGGTCGAGATGGCGCATTCGTACCATGTGATGTGGTCGCTATATCAATAGATGATCCTTCTTGTCTTGCTGTGGGTGCATCGAGCCAAGTGTCACTTGTATATATCACCGGCACGAGACGAAGTACTGCATGGGCCTACCTGTATACAATTGACACAAAACTTCGTAATGCATCACGGCAAAGCATACTTTTTCTCTTCTTCTTCTACTCCGTCAAAAACTACGTCTGTCCATCCTGACGTCAGCGAAGTGCTATCGCAAGACGAATAGGCCAGTGGACGGTTGTGAATGAGTTCGTACATTCCGCGTGGTGACGCCAGCGCTTTGTGAGCTCGCGAGCACTTATTTACTTGCATGTCCGGCTAAGTTATTGCAGCAACAGATATATATGTTCGTTCGACAGCATTTGTAGGTCGAAAAGCACGACAACTGTGCGGGTCAGTGCCCTGGTACCTCTATACACTGCACACAGGAAGGGTAAACGAATAAACAATAGCTTTCGTCGTAGCAGAAGTAAAACTGTCAAAACATATATTTTCAGTCCAACATCTCTTGTATCTGATATGCTCTAACTTAATTATGTGACTATAATCAAATCTATCATGATGTCTACCCACCACCCATTGCGCGCGTCTAGCAGCGATTAATGGGTCGATGTCGGCGTGATAACAATTGATGAGTAGACCCTTGGGTCACTACAACAATACCGCTGAAATTGCTCTAAGAATATTAGACTTAATATTCTCCATCGCCATATTGTCACAAAGGATGATATGATGGAGCCGGCTTGCCCCGTCACATTAATGCGCTCAAGCGAATAGCGTACATCACTGGGGTTCCCCATTTTCTGGTGCATTCTTTTTTATCGTGCAGTGCATTTTTATTTTGTTTTTCTCGCGGCACATGTTTTTTTTCTCGCAACTATCTGACGTCGTTTCTTATTTCTCTACATATCGCTACAGTAAATTTGGTGGTGGTGGTGGTGGTGTGCAGATGGTCCACTTGCACGGTGTTAACTATGCGCTGTAACCTCTGCAGTATGCTAAGCCAGAAGTGAGCGCCGGGAGACCCGGGGGGCAATCGTGGCTGGTCCCTATAAAAGAGACATTCTACGTCGAGGACCGGCAACACGTGCTGTCGGCCGAACCTTGGTACATGATAGGGTCAATCGACCCCCAAAGCTGTCGACACCGCCTGTAGTCTGTCGTCTGCTATCGCCAAGGCAACAAGTCCGAAAGTGGTAGAAGCTCCCTTCTTGACGTGGAGTGCGGTCATCGAAGCAACCGCAAGGCGTGGGGAACGCCAACCCGCCGTAGTATCGCCCTAGGGTCTCATCCATCTGCGATGGTGGCTCCCTTCTTGGCCGCTTGCGCGACCCCCAGGACTGTGCCTGTGCGACCACCGCAGCGGTGATACGTGGCGCTGGGTACGCCTCCGTTCCAAAAACTACCCCTTCTTGGTCGCTTGCGCGACCCGTCGGTCCACTACGCCCACACCCAAGACTACGAGTGCAGCTTGCTCGAGGCAGAACCTAGACCCCTTCGGCTCCCCTAGGGGAGAGGATTCCCTCCGAAGTGGCCGCCCCCGAAGACGGAAGGAAAGACTGGTTTAGGCTGAACCGTGAAAACTTTGGGAATGGCTGCAGTAGATATACGCCAGGTTGAATCGGAAGGCCCCTAACGATATGAAAGCCAGTTGTCCGATCCTC